GGGCTTCCGCTGGGGCTGGGCAGGGACTTGGCTGGGCATGCTCAGGGTGCCAGAGCACTGCCTGGGGCCCTGGGGAGGTGATGGGGTGGGAGGTCCCCCATGAATGGGGGCTGGAGCTGGGGGGTGCCAGGAGGGGCAGAGGAGGACAGGCAGCTTTGTGCCTCTAGAGAAAGAGAGCAGGGGCCAGTGGCCACCTGCCCTGGGGGACATGTTGTTCCCCCCAGGGCACTCCTGCTGTGCCCCGGGGCACGGGCACTGGTGTACCCATGCAGATGGACCCCCCATGCAGATGGACCCCCCGAAAACTGCCCCCCTGTGTGCTAGTGCTGAGGGTGTGGTGAGGAGCTGGTGCTCCTCCAGGACTGCTCAGAGCTGCTGGCTGGGGAATGAGGATCAGCCCCTGGGCCGCCTCTGAGCTCTCCTCTGGGTTTTGGGGCTGCTAATTGCTCCTGGTGTGTAATGGATGTACCCTCCTGCCTCTCGGGCTATTTTTGGGCCTGACCATCTCAGCCAAAGGTGCTGGGGTGACTCTTTTGTGCTCGTTTTCTTCTTGGGGAGGGTAAAACTAATGGAAAATGTTCTGCTGATGTGCCAAACCAAGGAGGTAGGGAGTGGCTGCTAGGGACAGAGAGCTGCTGGCAGGAAAAGGAGTTTTTGGCCACTTGCCGGGAAGGATTGTGCATAACCATGGGCCCAGAAGCAGGACAGCTCTGGGACCCTCAAGTAACCTTGTAATGCTGAAACTGCCTCCTCCAGCCTCCCTGCAGAGACACTGCACAACACAAAACTGCCAGGGCAAAAGCACTGCCAGCCCACCCAGCCAGGGTCCAGCACCAGCACTGCTTGTGGCAAAACTGCCCTGCCTGCTCCTTAGGGCCAGCAGCCCTGCCCTGGGCAGGCAGGGGCCAGGGGACAAAGAGACATCTCTGCACTCCCTGCTCTGCCCCCATGGCTCCCTGCCCAGACCCCCTTGCCCTCCCCACCCTGCTCCACCTCACTGGGCTCCACGCTGCTCCCGGTTCCCTCTGCAGCCAGAATGTGCCCTGGGGCTGCCCCATCTCCCCCTGCCCAAGGGCTTTCCCTGTGCAGTGCCACTGGGGCTGCTTGAAGTGGGACTGAGCTGGCAACGCTGCGGCCAAAGGCCCCTCTGGCTGTGGCACAGGACCAGTCTTGCATCTGCCTTTCATTTCTCTTCGTGCACTACCCTTGGATCGCGACTTGCCAATGCACCTCTGTACATAGCTGTACACAGCAGAGTCTCTACAAATACAGATCTATATGAACACAGAGGCGCTGGTATCGGTCATCACTGCAGGTCTGGGGTTGCACCTCCTGATGGGCTCCACCTGCCACGGGCTGCTGAGCACGGGGTGGTTTCACTGCTCTTTGTACAGGCAGACGAACAAGAGAAGGACAAAACGCAAACTTTGCGCTTGACGCTTTTGTTCTGCTGCCTGCTGGAAGGGTTCCCTCAGCCCTGCTCTGCCTGTGTCTGTCCCCAGGGGGGGAGAAGGCTCTGTGTGCCCAGAGCTTGGTCCCTCAGGGACCGTGGCTGCTCAGGGCACGGCGGGTGAGGCTCTGCAGGCTCCAGTGGAGCCCAGGGCATGTGCTGGGGGATTTGACACCCATAACTGGGCTGCTCCCCGACTGAGGAGCCCCACAAGGGCACAGCTCCCCAGCTGCATCCGTCAGTTTGCCCATCGTGAGACGTGGAGGTGAGGGGAGCTCCAGCAGCCACCCTGTCCTGCCTCTCCTGCCTGCCCTTCAGCCAGGGCCGCCAGGACATCCATGTGCATGGAGAACACCTCTGGGGTGCTGCTGCCCACCCCCTGTGCCCCTCCCCTGCAACCACAGCTCACCCATGGCAAGGGGCAGCAGCCCCCGGGCTCAGCACTTCCAAGTGAGACCTGCCTGTCCTTGTCCTCTGCAGAAACCTGCCCCTTCCTGCAGGGCTGCTGCTGGGGGTACAGCTGCGCTCTGTCCCTGGCCCATGGTGGGAACAGGTTTGCTTTGCAGAGAGGAGCAGGTCTCTGGCCAACTGGGCACCCAGCTTTGGAGGAGTCAGCCCGACGGAGGGGCGAGCGCAGGCAAAGGGCAGAGGGGACCCACAGGTTGGCAGTTTGGGGGCACCTCTGGGAAAGTCGCTGGCAAGAGGCTCGTGGGGAAGGCAGGTGCTGTGGGACCGTGGAGGAGAGCCCGACGGGACACAACAAGGGTGAGTTTTTATCCCCACAAGGAACCAAGGGCACTGACTGCAACCCCCCCAGCACCGGGGCTTCATGGATCCCCTGGAACCAGGGACAGTCACTTTCACAGAGCACATAAATTACCTCAGACCAGGTGGGACTAGAGACGTTTCAAAGCAATAGAGAAGCTTGGGAGCTGGCAGGGACCTCCCCTGTGCTGGACATCTTTGTGCCATGCAGAGAACCACGGGGGGCTGCTGAGGTGCCCGGGGGGGAGCCTGGGGTCACTGTCCCTACGATGCTGCCTGCAGCCTGGTCAGCCTGCTCATGGGGCTGGGGAGTAACAAGGAGGAACAGGGAAAGGGGCCAGCCTGGGGCAGCAAGCTGTGGGGAACTGTGGGGTGTGAAGGGTAGCACTGGAGAGCCAGAATGGAGCTGGGAAGGAACTGGTGGAGGTGTCTCAGGCTGTGCTGGGTCAGGAAGAAACTTTCTCCTGAGATACAGGAGGGTTGCCTGAGCACTTCTTGCAGGTACCTCTGCAGTGGCTGCCCGAGGACACTGCTCCTCTTCCCCACTTGCATGGAAGGGCCCATGAAAGGGAGCAAAGACCCTGCCTGTCCCAGGGGTAGCCAGCTCTGCCCGTAGGAGCCAAGGGGCAGCAGGCAGGATGGCTCTGCACGGGGACAAGGAGGCAGGGAGAGGGGAAAGCGTTGCTCCGAGGGGAGCTGCAGGCAAGCAGGGGCTGAGAATGACAAAGGCAGCCAAGCACTCACCTGCAGTCTGTGCGCCCGGGACCCCTCGCTCGGCGTCCGGCCCCACCGGGACGGTCCTGCAGAGCAGCTGATCACTGGGAGCTCCTCCTGCCAGCTCCCTGGCTGCCAGGCCACCTTGTCTTTTAAAGGTCACAGCCAGAGGACCTTGCAGTAAATATAAGGTGCTGATGGGAGGCTCTGTTCCAGCGTTGTCACCTCCTCCATGGGCAGGAGGGCTCTGCCTGCTCCAGGTCTGGGATCCCAGCATACCCCTGGCTCTGGAAGCTCTGGGAGAGGGCCAGGGCTGTTCTCTTATTGCTTCTGGGAGTGGGGCAGGGGCTGTCCCCGGCAGGATGCTGCCAGGGCCAGCGCAGTGCCTGCTGCATCGAGCTGGGAGGCTGCAGCCCAACTGCTCTGCTCAGCCCTACCCTGCTCAGTACCCACGTGGAGGGAAGCAGGAGCCCTGCTCGGGGAGCAGCCTGGCATTTTAACCCTCCCAGCTCCATTCATGCAAGGTGAGAAGGAGTGAGGAGTACCCAGGTGCCTGGCAGCCAGTGTGAGCCGCCCTAGCCCCTGCCCCAGCAGGCTGCAAGCCATCTGGCAGGACCCCTGAGCTCCTCCTGTTCCCCAGGGGAGGTGACAGTGTCTGAGCAGAAGGTGCTCACCTTTCCTGAAACCAGACACAGGAGCCTGGTGCTGGACTCAGCAAAACAAGTTTCCGCTGAGCCGCAGAATCCTCGGATCCCACACCGGACATCTCAGCATCCTGCCAAAATCCCAGGGCCAGCTGCCCTGCCTGCCCTTCCCTGCCCTGGCACAAACAGCTCCCGAGGCCGGGCTGTGGGGAGCAGAGCTGTTCCCAGGCCTGTGGCAGGTGTCTCACCAGCTCCCTCGGCCGAGGAGACCGGCCAGAGCTGCCAAGTGTGACAGCTCCATCAGGCCCCTGTGACAGGCAGCATCCTGCCCCGAGCCCTGGCCTCCCCGACAGGGCACACAGAGCCCTGCCCCTGCAGAGGTGCTCAGTGTGGGGGGATCGTGGCCACAGGGACATGTCATCATGGAAAAAGCTGGTACCTGCCTGCCCTGCTCACCTGGGCTGTGCCAGCACCCACGGGAGCCCTTTTGTATTTATTGGCCAAGTCTCCCAGGTGGGTAGTACTGTTATTCCCAACCTCCCTGCCTCCAAAAGGAGTTAGGGCTCTGCTGGGGGGGATTCCCAATGGCAGTTTAGCTGAGGCCATCCCAACTATACCCGCTTTTTTGGCAGCAAACTTGGCAGACACCTGAGCATCCCAGGAAGTCCTCCACCCATATGGCCTCTCCCTGCACCAGGGTACATGTGCTACTCATTCAGGTCTCCAGTGCTGGAGGTCTCTGTGGGCCTGCTGGCTGGATGCTGGAGGGGGCCCGCCTCACTTGCACCCCCTGTGAGCACCGTGGCCCTAAGCAGCCACTGTGCCCCTTGCAGGGATGATGAGCATCCCTCCAGCCCTTCAGACCTCTCTGCTGAGCTGCTCCTCCGAGCTGTGTGCCACCCCACACACAACCAGCAAGGCTGCAGCAGATGCAGCCCTCCTCCTCCTGCCTCAGGATGCTGCTTGCCTGCTCACCAGTGCCTGCAGCTCTGCTCACCCAGCCCTATCCATCACCTAGCTGTGCCCATCACCGGGTTGTATCCATCACAGCCACCCGCCCAGACACCTTGTGCTGCATCAGCAGAACTCTCCACCCTGCTCCTGCAGCGCTGCCCAGCCCGCTCTGCCTGTGCTTTTCCTCTCACTTGCCAGCTCTGCAGCCCTAACTCCCCAACCCACAGGCACTGCTGCCACCCTCTCGGGGTCCCCTGGGTTGTCCCTGTGCCCTGCTGAGCCTTGTGGGCAGGTGGAAAGGAGAAGAAGCTGCGAAGGGGGCTGGAGTGGGGATGAGGAGTCTCTCAGTGTGCCCTGAGCTGCCAGGCTGTGACACCCCAGACATGCATCCCTGCAGGTGAGCTGCTGTCACCCCCCAAAAAGAAGCAGTGCTGTTTGGGGAGGCCATGCTGTCCTGCTGTACCCAGCAAGGGCAGCACCACCTCACTCGGCCTCTGAGGTGAGCTTTGCCAGGACACACACCTTGTGCCAGCACAGGGACAGTCCGTGCTGCTCCAGCCCCCTGAGGATGGCAGCACCTCCTCCCTCTTCCCGCCCTGCCTGCTCTCAGGGTGTGTCACCTCCAGCAAACTGCTCGGCACGGGGCTCTGGCTGCCTAATGGACCTGGGGGGCAAGGTAAGGCTCTGTCTTTGCACACTCTGCCCGCGGAGCCTCCATTAGGAGGGCCCTGGCACCGCGGGCGGGGATGTGGTCGGGGGGGGGGGCGGCACTAATGGATGTGATGGGGAGGAAAAGGTTGTGGAGATGTGAACCTGCGTGGAGCCAATTATCCTGGAACGAGCTCGTGGTGAGAAAAAGAAGTTTTAATGTGTTCTCTTTGATGCCAGGCAGACTCACCCTGCAGTCCTGCCCACCCCTGTCCCTGCCTGTGGCTGCAGAGCTGCCTGGGGTCT